AAAAAAAAAAAGGCTACTCAGATTCTCAAATGTCTTGTAAGAAAAGTGTTAAAAATTAGGGCATTGAACACAATGTATGATTTTAGTATCTTGAAATTTGAAAAACACTGTTTAATGCCAAAAACCATCTAACCTGAGGGTTCGTATTAAATATTTAAATGATGATATTTTCTGAGAAGATGTTAAGTATAATTTTGTTCCCTATGAATATTTTAAAATGGTAAACGAAAAATTGGCAAAATGAAAAAAAACAATCAATATTGCAACAATATAACYAAAATAGACGAATAAAGAATAGRTGATGTCTAAAGTAAATAATCACGAGTTTTATTAATCATTATTATCATTTCTATCAGTCATATTTGTAATGTCGTTAAACTCGGATAAGTTATTACTTTATTAGTCTATATAGGAAATTTATTCGAGGTAAGTAACGTAAGTGATCAACTAACTAAAATAGCATTTTTTTTTTATTATTATTACATTGCTTAAAATTTGAATTAATTGTTTTTTATCATCTCAGCAGAATATAGTATATAGATAGTAGAAGGAAAAAATGTTACAGAATGAATAAAATAGAAACAAAAATACATTTTAACGTATTTGTTGGATTTTGTATAATTTTAACTACATCATCTTATGAACTTAAAGCTTATTGTTTCGTTTGTTTAACTCATTCTTTTGATTTGAGTTTTGTTATCTCGGTCCTCGGATACATTGGAATGTTTGTCAGAAGAATCTATATGTAATTCAGTAGCTGTGTACAATATTATCGTGTAAATCCTATGTGTTTGCAATTGTTCAACAGCATATTTGCTTACAATCTCTATATTATTTTCTAATAAATCCACCATGCTTAAAATAATATATTTCATTTCATTTCTTGAAGATATTTGATTAAGAAAATAACAATGCGTTTATAACAATAAAATTGTTATTTATAGAATCACCCACGTACGTAAAACGTCTTAGTCAAATAATATGTACGATTTTATAAAACGGAAATAGATATAAGACATGGACTTTAACTTAGTCCAGTATACAAATTATTTCCCAATAAAAATCGCTTTTGTTTAGTTTTTAACCTCCTATAGATTATATCGTTGTTTTTGGGTTTTATTATTTTGTAACGTTATACTATTTTTAAATTCTTATACATTCATTAATGATAATAATTAAATTGATCCCAAGCGCACAATAAATTATTTTGAACAATATTGAAGACTTTGTGTAAAATAATTGTATTAACAAAYTATGATGTTTTACCTATGCTATCGGCGTTTCTTATGCCCAAACATTTAATATTTGAACTATTTTTCTATAGACATACAAAAATGTAAAAATAATTATTTATATTATATTACGATATTGCAGGGACACAATTCAGACATGTAAACCAAACCAATCCCGCTCAAATCACAACATAAATTTAAATATTATTATCAAATATAATTAACAGTTCTATACCCTATAGTGAGTTAATTAGGAAATTTTAATTTCAAAAACAGATTGASGTATACTATACTCAATACTGCAAATATGTTATTTCATTGAAAGTGATACCGACATAAGCGACGCACGACGTCTCACTCTGAACAATAAAATAATTAGATAAATTGACATTCATAGACAGTTATTTCTATACGATTTAGTAAACCGTATAAACTGAGTTTAGGTATACTTTGCGCAAAAAAAAACTCCACAAGCGTACATGTAAGGCTTTGAAAAACATTCATTATAAATTGTATTTAATGATACTACGTTATAAATTATGCAGTATTCTGTGCATAATAATCAAGGAGACCTAAATAATATTCCATGGTTTAAACAGAACTATTTTTCAGTTCAATTGTAGTATAAATTACCGTAATCAAGATGGTTCTCATTCGTTCTAGTATAATACATTCTATTATTATTATAAAATCTATCGAACTTGAAACTAAATTACTAAATTATTAATGACGGAAGTAATATTATTTATACTTATTATAATGACCTATTATAGCTGATATACAAATTGGAAAAAATGATTGTACAATCAAACAGTTTAATATAATTTATGAAGTACCAGCTTAGTGGATACACACATACTCTAAAATAATACTATAATACCTATTTATTATGAAAAGTCAAAATGGATATAAACAACTATTTATGGACATAGATACGTGTGATATATAATTGCTAATCCATAGATATTTTATCCACAAATCTAGTAGATACATACTGWTGTTTTTTTTTAATTTGTACTTGTAGATTAATTATATCATACAATTATAACAATATTATTAGTTCGAATAGATTTTGATTTAAACATGACATGAACGTTTATTTTAAAATTAAAGTATGGAGTAACATTGATAGTTTAAATGTTTATAAGTAAATTGTTTCTAAGTTACCACATTCGATAATAATATTATGTGTTAACAAATTTAGAAACCATTCACCTTTCAATAATGATCAATATACAACATAAAAGAACATACAAACAATAATTCAATTGAATCTTCATAAATTCATAAACGATACGCCTTGTTTATTGAAATTGCTATGCATCAACTGTATACAACCATGTAGGCTCCTTTAATATAAAGCCAATTATTTTTACCTAATTATTATKATGTGGATTCCATATATTATATGATTATGAATTAATATTAATTTTAATTACTGCATCCCTTAACTCATCCTTACATCCATGTATGAAAATGTCATTATCACCTCTACAGTTTTAAAAATTATTTAATTGTAAATGTCTACCCTCAATCTTATACGATCCAGTGATTTTTCCCTTTAAATTTAATTTTAGACTTTTATTCTTAATTTTTATTTCAGTCATTAAATTTTATCTTTGAGATTTTAATGTTTATTTTCTCATCCTTTAATAATATAATTTGTCATGAACGTATTCTAAACACATTTTATCGAAAGCTTGTCATGATGTTAAATTTAATTAGTAGGTATATAGGTAGATCCTTATTCTGACGAAACTTCTTTTTGAAAAATTTGAGTAATTAGCTTGAAACWTTAGTCAACTCCAAACATGTCCAATATGACGACGCTACCCGCTTGACGGCCAAAAATCTCATTATACATGCCAAATACAAATTTAMAAAATCAGAAAATTGATTTTTATTGATCCACCTACTGAAAATTGCGTAATACTTCAACAATGATCTAGTATAATGTAAATATAAAGATGGTAAACTGATAAATACGAAAAAAATTAGCATCTAAACATGTGATAGGTACGCCTATCGTCGAATATCTAAATTATATTAACTATTAGCCAACATTATTCAGATTTTATTGGTATTAAAAATCTGTGAGTTATAATATTTTTAATGAGAGCAAAAATGACCAATTGATATGGCATTTAAGACACTTGACTCAAGAAATGGAATTTGCTACTAAGATGTTTGTAATTATTTATACGTGACCTAAATTTGAACAATAACAGTTTGAGCTAATGTAACTTCTATCGCAAAAGGTCTAAATTTAATTTAAACTTGTTATCATCGCAGTTACCAATAAATTAATTTGATTTAGTTGGTTTTAGGATTAATTATTATTTCTATAATTATTACAGTGAATAAATTATATATATATATATATATATATATATACAAAACAGATTAGATTTTGCTAATATTGTATACCTAATGTTTAAATATATTATATAATTTTGTTGAAAAATTTTATAACGTTAAACTAAATTATTATTATAATCTATGGACTAAGATAATTGTTTAGCAAACTAAATTTTGTTTTAAAATATTATTAAGTTATTTAATATGATTGTTAATAGTTATTATAGCAGTGGTTATATACATAATATTATATACATAGCGCCGTGGCCAGAGTTTTTTAGAAGAAGGGTTTCAATATATTCATTGGCCAGAAAATTGTTTATTCGGTTCACTGTTTGAAAAAGTTAATGGTCCTCTGACATTATGATGGGCGGTGGGCTTAAGTCTGTTTCAGGCGTTTTAGCCTCATCCCCTGGCTACGGCACTGTATATAGTATTATTAAGTGATAGGCATAAACGAAATGTTTAATGTATGTACTTCTAATTATCCAGCTCATAAATTCACTATATACATTAAACTTGTGAAACAATAGGTATATGTATATAGTGATTTGGTTGGTTCGTCGATTATATGCACAATGCGCTACACTGCCTATTTTTTATTTTATTTTTTATTTTTCTGTTGTTTTATACAACAGGAATTCGTTGTTATATTTAATTTAATTATTTT